GGCACAACGGCATTTTTTCTCACGTGGGTGTATTTGCCAACAACCTGCCCTGACATGTCACAATACCCTCGTCTCTTGCAAAATTTGTCGCGCAGGACGAGGCAACCGGCTGGGGGCAAAGAGTCAGAGACTGCAAGGAAAGGGAAACGGCCTCAACGCACCGCGGGGGGGGGGCGGCGCAGGTGCACTGGGGCTGGGCGGCGGAGGCACCGCGGGGGGGGGGCGGCGGAGGGGCCACGTGGGGAGGCGGCGGAGGTGCCGCGGGGGACGGCACAGGTAGTGTCGCCAAAAAATTCCGGGTGTCCAAGCCAGGACGGGACACCGGCAACAACAAGTTATCGATGACGCAGCGATTGCAGATTGTCAAGGAGGTCCAGGAGGGGGGCAATGAGGAGCATGGTTGCTGCAAAGTGGAACGTCGGTACTTCGTACATCAGCAAGTTGATGANCTTAGATCAGCATACAACTTGGTTGTCTATATTTACGCCTCACCCTTTCGCCCCTACACCTCCTCCCACTCTCGACCAAGCTGCTGGAATGGGGGTTCGACAAGCTCTAGTCCACCTGTTTCAAGCTGGCCGACTGAACACACAACCAATTCAAGGGAGAGTTTATCGAAACCATGTCGCTGCTGTTTTTTTTTTGTCTTTCCCGACGCAGGCAATCAAGATTGGCGTGAAGTGGTTCGATGATCCAGGCCCAGGCCTTGAAGATCGCGGCGCAGATGGGGAAGACCAACTTCAAGGCGACCAACGGCTGGCTACATCGCTTCCTGAAACGCTACAGCTTCACTCACGTCCAATTGCACGGAGAAGCTGGCGACGTGGACAAGCAGAAGGTCGCAGAGGAGATCGACAGGATTCGTGAGCAGCTGCAGGTGTTCGACGTCGAGTTCATTTTTGTCATGGACGAGACGGGACTTTTCTTCCGCTACTTCCCGAGAGGTACATACGTCACGAGGGGGGAGGCCGCCGCCGCCGTCAACTGCAAAACGGCGCGGGGATCGAAGGCCATGAAGGCAAAGGATCAGTGCACGGTGGCCGCCTGCTGCAATACGACCGGGTCTCTGATGGTGCCGTTGGCCGTCATCAGCACGTCGAAAAAACCGATGGTTTTCCGCCACGTCCACAAACCGCCATGTCCCTACTTCGCCCAGGAGATTGCCTGGATCGACGCAGCCTTTTGCCAGCGGTGGTTTGACGAAGTCTTTGTCCCCTTCGCCAAAGGCAAGACCTCCAAGAAGGTGGCCCTCTTGTAGGACAACTGCCCCGGCCACAAGATCAAAAGCAACGACCCGCAGATCGTCATCTTCGTGCCTCCGAACGTCACTTACGTCTACCAGCCCATGGACATGGGCATCCTGTTTGTACTCAAGTGCCAGTACAAGACCGAGATGGTGGCAAGGCTGGCAGACCTCATCGAGGACTGGGACACGTCCGTGCACGAAAAATCCAAAGGTGAATTCAAAACAACAATGTCGGGGAGCTCTTTGTTACAGTCGTCGCAGGTCTTGCGAAGGCTCTGAAAATGGTGCTCTTTCAACTGTTTGTCGAGCTGGTTTTAACATTAGCCCTTTCATCCGTCCCTGTCTTTCGTTTCGGCAGAGGGTGCCGGGGCCTCAGCGATGCAGGACAGGCGACAATGCTGGACATCATGGAGATCTGTTCCCAGAAGTGGCGTAGCTTCGACGTTCAGACGGTCATCAGGTGCTGGCCTAAGGCTAGCATCCTTCCCAGGGAGCACTGCAACGTTCTCAAGGGCATGGACACGCGGCTTGACCGAGAGGACAAGGACGACGCGGCAATCATCGACGGTCTTCGTGGCATGGTCTCAAAAATGTCGATGCCAGCTAGCGGAACGGACAATAGGGCCATGCCGCGAGTGTTGACGGACAACTTGTTTGTCGAGAAGGGCACAGATCTCACAGAGCAGGAAGTCCGAACGGCGGTCAAGATGTGGCTTACGGTAGAGGACGACCCCGAGGTGTTGGAAGAGGAAGTGGAGTTGGAACTGCAGGCAGTAGAGTGGGATCTCGCCGGCTTAGAAATGGACGACGACGTATCGAGCGAAGAGGGCGACGGCAACGGCAGGCCGGAGTCGTGCATAACCTCGTCCCTCACCTAAGGCGAGGTTATCTCTCGCTTGGAGGACGTTCGATCCTATTTGTACGCGAAGGGAAGGGGTGGCGAGTACCGTGAGACGCAGTACCTTGTTTCGAAGGCCGTTCATTCGTTTACTCATGAAACTCAACAGAGGCGTAGAGCCAAGCCGCGGGGGNTAAGGCGAGGTTATCTCTCGCTTGGAGGACGTTCGATCCTATTTGTACGCGAAGGGAAGGGGTGGCGAGTACCGTGAGACGCAGTACCTTGTTTCGAAGGCCGTTCATTCGTTTACTCATGAAACTCAACAGAGGCGTAGAGCCAAGCCGCGGGGGGAGGTTCAGGGAACTCTTCGCGATATGTGGAGGGAAAAGCTGTCAGGGTAGCTTGGTCTCCGCCGGGACAGTTATATGTATGTTCCTCGGTGCGACGCTGAAATTCGCTTGATTTTTTTGTGGTTCACGAGAATGAGATAAATATATTTCTACTTGGATTTTCCTCCTTCTTCCGCTGCCAGCGAAGCAGTGCATTAGTTGGCCAAATTCAAACTTGTGTGCTGTGTGTAGTTGTGTTCAACACGTCCCCGACTGCTGCACATCTCACTTCAAGTATTATAAACATGTTCGACGTCAACAAACGTAATCAATTTTGCTGCGTAGACTACTGGTGTTTGGCAAACCATGTTCGTTCACAACATGCCCCGAATCATCACGATGAAAAACTCGCCGCCAGAGGCTGCATGTTGTGGGCGGCAGAGTCTTACGCTACAAGTAGTCTACTACATAAGAGAAATTCATGGTTTCACCAAGTTTCACGTTCAAATAATACGACATACGGGACCATCACCGTGGATAGTGGACGTTGAAAACGTCTTGCCGCCCGAAACTACAGTAGCTACGTGAGTGAGGCCCTTTGAAGGGCTTCAGAACCATCCATGCGTGTGCACACACACGCGGAATACTGACCGCGTAAAATTGCCAACGAATGCAAAAATGTTGTCGATAGTGAGAGCAGGAGTACCAAACAGATGTGCCAGGTTTGGGTCGTGGATAACGGCTGCTGCGCGTCGGCCTCGCGCGTCGACCTTCGATCACGAGACACGGGGGCTTGAGCGTGGTCAGTCTGAGGCATGGAGCCAATGTGCGCCGGTACATACGTGTGAGCATGAGCAAGAAGGTGGCAATAAATACGGCCGGGACGCCTGGGTCCATAGAGTATGTGTGCGCACACATCGAGGAACTGGGCAGAGAGATCGGGACGTTCAATGTGAAGATAACAAACGCGGCACATCTGGAAATGGATCTCGACAAACCAGCCCTGAAACAAAAACAAGGGGGCCAAACACGGAGTGGGCAGTACCAACGGTTGTTTACAGATCGAGCCTGGCTCTCAATCCTCCTGTTGATGATGCCAACGATATCTGATGTCTCGCCACATCGCTACTTTGACACGGGCACAAAATCCTGATTGCTCCGCCCGTGAGCAACAAGGAAGGACCAAGAGAGGAAGGATGTCTGCACAGCACCGTAAGCCAACCACAGAGTTCTCGATTGCAGGATGACCCCATACGAAGTATTATGTACACAAAATACGCGGCTGCCATCCTATACGATACAAGCGACTTCTCAAAACAAACGCACACAGTAACCACGTCCGTCAACGTTGGGAAATAGTACACTCGATCGGCTGTGTCTTCATCGCACCAAACACCAGATAGTCACATGCGGTGCGCCACAACAGTTGCATCGAAAGCAACCTGCAATCCTAGATCTTACGCTCCTCTCCGCTTACATAGAACGAGTTCACCAACACTGCTCCACCCCGCAATCCAAGGTGGAACACGTAATCGCTTGCTATAGAACGCTTGCCACATCCGTAAACCTCGCGGGTAGTACATACAGAACACAGGGCAACGCTCCAATAAACCTGTTGCTGCCACAGGGCTTTTGCAGCTTGTTGATGCCAGTTCTTGGCTTCCAACGAATGTACAAGGGGTTCCAAAAAAAGACTCCAATCCTATCCTACAGCTTTCTTACAACAGTGGGCACTACTTTGAAGCCACCCGCACCGCCCGCCTGCGTCAAGCACAGAGTAGCAAGGCAACATGAGGCTGCCGTCCCTCATTGCTTCCACATACGGCGGTTCGGAAACCTGGGCGCGTATTTTCTGGCTATTTCTTGCCGGATTGGACTGCGCTTCGCAAAAGTCCCCCCTTAACAATAACGAGGGACCGCAAGCCCTGCGCGGAGCCGCGCGGGGCGGGCAGCCACGACCACATAGCGTTCGACGCGCTGCTGCATGGAAGGAAGGCCGACTTGATGCGACCAACCCCACCCAGCGCTGCTGTGTAACGCCAAACGCGTAACAGCGCCGTACCGCGTTCTTGAAAGGTGCTCGTGGCGCCGGTGAGTACACTTGTCGTCATGCAGCACATACCAGGTTTGCGGGGCATGGCCCTAAATAAGGCAGGTTCCGCCCGGAGCCCTTATGATTCCATGTTTCCAACCATGAGTTCTCCCTCGACGAACAACCAAACAACCAAACAAGTTTTGAAGACAAGCTAAGCAGTACCCAATCCGATCCAATACTTGCACAGCACAGCCGACGTAACGGTCGGGGAAACGAAACGAAACGACACGCTCTTAAGGGTCTCATCCTTGGAGCCAAAAGTCCAAAATGAAACCAAAAAGAAACCCGTGAAAAAATACGACATACCCGAGGCGGTGGCCACGGCAGTAGTCTCCATGAAGAGAAGCACGTGACCAACGCCACGAGCACGCCGCGCGAGCGAGGGGCAAAAATCAAAAGTACTGCGCCCCATCTCCCTCCGTCGAGGTGACGGAATCGACCGAGCGCTGCCGATGTTTTGCCTCCTCCGATTGCTGGTCCATGGTGTTGAGCGCGTCTGTGCTGTTCCGACCGTGCAAGGTGGCCTGAGATCCCTGTGTACCGGTGGGTGGCGGGTCCCAGCAAGAAAAGTGGTCAGCTTGCGGTGGCCAGAAAGTGTCCGCGCGCTCGATACAAGGAGAGAGAGACCGGGGCGGTTTCCCCGTGCTTTGATGGTGCCGCATGTTGCAGGAAAGGGGCGGCGGGCAAGCGGTACGGTGCTCTCGCTGCTGCTGCTGATCGTGGGGGTGGAGGCGTCGCTGATAGGTCGACCGCGCTCTCAATATTGGTCCGTGCTTTACAGCCCACGTCTATTAAGTACGTCCAAGGGCTTGAGAATATGAACAAATATAAAGCAAAATACTACCCAAAAGACGTAAAACTTTCTCTGCGAAGTGACAAGGGACCAAATAAAGACCAAGATACAAACACCACAAATTCACAACGAACGCATGTTCGTATGCAGCTGTTGTAGTCAACCGCCTCTCCCACCACCGAAAAACGCTCCCATTCGGGCGAACAACACGCGGTACCAAAGGCCGTCACATAACGTTGGCACGACGGATGTACCGAACCTCCCGACTCACCGAGACGATGGTATCAGCATCCTCCGTTGATCCACCGGTGACCCTCGCCACTTCTTCAATGCTCAGCTTCGAGGCAGCACGAACCAGCGTGGAGAACACGCTCGGGCTGTTGAAGTCCGTGGATGCGAAGTTCTTGATCATCGCCTTCTTAAACTGCAGAGGAAGAGGCTTCGATCAGGAGGGTGGCGTGTGGATTGGTGCCGGTGAATACACGGGAATTTTGAATGTGCCGGTGTACAGGGGGAATTCCACCTCGTATCGGCGAAAACGTGGCATGGTCCCCAAAGCCTTTTCCCGTTGACGTGTTACGTTTAGTATGGCACTATCTGAACCTGACTCACTGCACCGCTGGGCTATGCGCCGCATCTACGACGAAATAATATCCACAACCGACAAGCTGAACTCCACGTCCGCGTGTACGGGCGTCCGCACCAGCCATGGATAAGGGCTGCTTCAAGCCACCGTAAACTCAAACTTTTCAAAAATTACCCATCCACCGCAATCATTTGTGTTTCGCCCACTCATAATGACGTTCCCGGGTCGCAGGCCCTCCCACCTCATGCACGAGAAAGACTCCGCTCACCAAGTCGTAGCTGACGCCCTTCCCTTCTTCCCCTACCAGCGCGTCGAACACCTCTGCGTCAGTGATCTCTTTGTCAATGGTCCGCTCGTTGGACTTGTGGCCGATCACCTCGAGAAGGTTATCCAGGGTGAGCTTGCCCGTGTCGTCGTAGTCGAGACGGTCGAACGCCAGCCGGAGGTTCTCGTCCCTGACGTGTCCCTCGTGCAAACACGCCGCGACGAACTCTGTGAAACCTGCGCGAAAAAAAAAAAAAAAGTTCGCAAAGGGTGAGAGCGTGGATGGCGCCCACCCCAGACGGGTGATGGACGCTATGACAGACAACCTTGTTTTGCTCCCGAGCATAAGGGAACAGATGTTGCCATTCTGGCATAGTCCGTGGGCGGAAGTAGCACTGCTCAACGCGAATCTTCAGTTCTTGGCCGTTGAAAGAGCAGCGTTGGAGCACGGAGCGTGTCCCATCATTCTCAGTTCAAGACGATTTCGACTTTTGCCCGACTCGGCTCGCGCTTGGTTTCGAACCCGAGGCAATGGAGTTTTGGATCGGAGAAGGTTCCGGGTCCACGCCGCCAATATAAAAAATCGGTCGGAGTTCGTAGGCGGGCGGACGAAGCTGCGTCGGCAGAAAATCCGCGCCCTCTGCTTGCACTAGGAGTAGAGGGTTTGGTTGGCCGTTGCTCCTAGTGCAGAAGCAGAATACGTCGGCGTAGCTGATGCCGCCTGCTTGCGCCTTGTGACGGTCGGTCCTGTGGGTTTCCGTAGTTGTGAGTTCCGATGGGCCAGCGGGTGTTTCCTGGCGGAGATATTCCCTTGGACCACATCATCCGTAAGAGAAGGAGGCGTTGATACCAAGCTCGCTCTTTCGGGGGGGGGCTACCTCGAGGATAGATCGCCCCAAACCCAACACCAGCAAGAACGGCCGTGCACACTGCTCCACCTTGGGCGAAGCTCATTTCCATAAAGTGGTCGTTGTGATGACAGGTTGTCCACCTCCTCCTCCCACCGAAAGACTACGACACACACACATCAACACGTGATGCAAGCACGCTGTACCTATCGTGCCATCCTGATCCAGGTCAATCTGTTCAAACAACCTCTCGACCTCCTCGTCCGTGTAGTTATCGGACTTGTTGAGCGCGTTCTTCAGGTCCATCGGGCTAATTTCCCCGCGGCCCTCCACGTCCACGTTCTGGAACTCGGTGCGAAGCGTCCGGATTTCTGCCGGAGTGAGGGAATGCGCGATTACCCCGAGCGCCACGCGCTTCAGCTTCCCGTAGTCCTGTAGATTCGGGGCAAAAGAATGGCTCGATACAGCAAAGTTTAAAGCTCGGTTTCGGGACGACACACTGCTGCACATCAGTCATGTGTGCGTTTCGTCCTGTGGGATTTTCTAACGTTTGGTGCTAGGAAAGCGAAAAACAAAGTACGGAGGCGTGCTTATAAAACTTCATATTCTTTCGTTCTATTTTTCGGGTGGTGGGGAAGACATGCAGAACGCAAAACACCAAGGAGAACGCGCGGTTGGGCCTGTAGTTCTGGCAAGTTCAAGCTCTGCACTGGATGCGGTACAACAACCGGCCACAAATCCCAACGGATGCACCAAGTACAGGATCGTCGGAACGGAAAGGGTAACCGAGCCACGCCCAGGCGGCACGTGGTTTTCAATCTTGTTTGCAGTTGTTGACGTGGGTGACTCATGAATGCATACGCCGGGGCCGCTTTGCTGCTTCCAACCCCCCAGGCCCCGTGCGGAGCAGACAAAACACGATGCTGCGTTTCTTGTGTCGGGGTCGCGCTACGGCCGCACCTGGTTTTAATCTCGACGCAAAAATGAAGTGCAATGGATGAAAAGCGTCGGAAACGAGAACACTCGCAACCTTTCCACCTAGCCAGACAACAAGCCTCGGCATAGGGCCGAGGAGCAATGCTTTCAACCGTTGTTCCCCCCGACGGACCTCTCCTCAATCAACCCACCGCGAAGTTTCTGAGCCGCCGAACAAGCTCCGGGTCTAGCGCCGCTGACGACTCCGTCGTCGAGGGTGTCACCGACGCTACCGCCGCCGCTCCTTCCCCGCCCCCTCCTTCCTCCTGCCGCTCCGACATCGCCTCAGCCTGAGCGACGGGTTCTACGCCATTTTGCTTGTTTCGCGGCTTTGTCATCCAGGGATGTGCGCAGGCCTCGTCCGCGGACATCCGCTTGGCCGGGGACTTCACTAGCATTCTCTGTAGCGTGAAATACGCAACGCCCAAAAAACATGAAAAAAACAGATGCGAATAGGAACCGGGAGTATATGTATACGCGTGTGTGGCTCGATGACAGGGGGGTGTACTCATACTCAATACTCATAGTCGTGCATGCTGTAGGCGTTAAACCATTGTCCTCGCATCCCTACAAAGCCGGGACGGAGCACGCCGGGTTCTCACCGGACCAGGCTCTCACATCACCAAGCGCGAAGCGCCGTGAGGTATTCGGCGAGTCGCATGAAGGATGCGCTGTATCCTGCTAAGGGTGTTCGGCATCTTCTGCTTACTTGCGTACGGATGACAGCTGCGTATGACTTCATTTATTTTTGTGCTTTCACTTCCAGAGACAGTTGTTAGCACTGTGTTACTGCCTCGAGGGTGCTTGACCATTTGACCACCACGTGGTGCGATCATCCCCCTTGCGCGGAGTGATTCTCGACCCCGCACAACATGGTCTATTCGACCACCACTATGGTTACCGCCAAAAAAAAAAACAGAGGAAAAAAAAACAAACGGTAACCTGGTTGCCGAGTCGAAGCGAATTGGCTTGTTTTACAACATCGTTGGCAAGCGACGAAAACCCAATCCCGATGGCAAACACCGAGGGGGGGGGGTCGATGACAGGGGACGCCAAAAACAACGAGGTATGGTGGGCTTGTTGGAAGCTTTTGGAAGCGCGGTCTATTGTAATGTCTGTCTATGCAAGCGCTCCGAATACTTGTTGCTCCGAGTGCTGGCCAGCAGGCCGTTGACCTTCTTGCCCCAGCCAGTGCTCGTCCGCCGAAGAGGACCACGGCATAGGGCTAGCGTTGGGGTTACGCATGGTAGGGTTAGGTGCAACACAACGGGTCGTGACTATCGACGACGACACGGTGGCGGCCCCACAAAAAAACTTACCCTAACGTAATGCGTTTCTAGCTGGACCTGGTTATCTTTTATTTTCAATACGAAATAGCAGTGAAAGAAGATTGGATGGTACGCCTCAATCGCCAAGAAGCAATGAGCCATGGCGCTCTCCCACACACACACACACGATGAAGCTTGCCACACACCTTGATGAAATCCTTGGCATCGTCCGAGATTTTGTCCCAGACCTCCTTCGGAAACGATACCTGACGGGACAACGTCGAAGCCCACAATCGTTACCAAAAGCGGCAAAACCGCTAGAGCAAGGGAGCATTCACACCAGGGGCGGGCAATGGCATCGGAATAACGCTGTAAGGCATACTGCACCACACGGTGTCCAAAACATCACGGGTCGTATCAGAAGGCAAGACTGCGTTTAGAGAGGGTTGTAGACATGGGTTCCGCAAACGGTGAACGGAACAAATCGCATAACAAACAGCGTCGTACTCTAGCTTGCATACGGCACCGTCGCAATACAGTAGCGTGCTCTTCTCTAGTTAGGAAAGGTTGTGCTATGCATACGAGTAGGCTTGGATGCTGTTGTTGGACCAATATGGCCGCCAAGAAGCCCCCGCGTCACACCAACTTCGAGCGTCGTGTAAGAAGAAAACATGGAAGGATGGAAGACCGACTGCCAACACCTTGGCCTGAATAATCCGACCGCCCGGCTTCCTTACTACGACAAAGCAAAGCCAACCGCAAATATTCAGCTTGTCCGTGGTCTCCCTTGCCCTCCAGCTGGATACCCTCGTAAGCTCCAGGCGTCTTGGTGCAAAAAACTTTTATCGTCTGCGCGCTTACCCTTGCCCACTTGATCTTGATCTTAACGCCCTCATCGGACGGAGCCATGAACGGCGGCGCGCCCGCCAAGAGCATGTAAGCGATCACCCCGATGCTCCAGCAGTCGCAAGCCTAACAGGGCGCGCGCGCATTCGTTTTTGCACCATTGGGTATTTTTTTCGGGTTTGCATTGAGGTTTGCTTTTGTCCTGGGAAAAAAATCTTGTGTTGGGAATGTTTTTCGGCCTGCCGCCGGATTTACTGTCACGTGTGACGTATGCGTCCATCAACAAAGACGCGAACAAGGTCCTACCCACGGGTGAAAAATTACAGATGCCCCATCATACTGACTTGCTAAGCTACAGGCTTGGCCACACACAGACTGGGCTAACATTGTTATTATTGGCAAACATCGTCAGACTTGGCCAACGTACCGACTTTGAATACAGACTTGGCTAGCTGCAGACTCTGGTTGCGCGCAGACGCAGTAGAAAAATGACACTTTGCAAGATGGAACGTTGTTCCAATATACGGAGCCGAAGCAAGCACTCCACCGCATCATATACTCCGTACGAAGACCAAGGCTGCCGCTTTGTCGGCGGTTCTCGACGACGAGAGCGCCACGAAGGGCTTCGCAAGGTTCCGGGAGGCGGCGCTCACCTTGGTATAGTTCCTGCCCAGCACCTCGGGGGCGACGTAGTACAGGCTGCCCACGTCCTGGTGGAAGGTCTCGTCCTCTTTGGAGAACTTTACCCCGAGACCGAAGTCCACGAGCTGCGTACCATCAGACGGGATGGGGGCAGAGGTTAGAAGCAAAGGGAAAAACCTATTGAGAAACCCACCAGACAACACAGAAGATCGCCACCACCAGCAGCAGCGACGAAGACAGGAACCATGACAGCGACAAAAAGAAACGGACACGACGCACGAGCTCAAGCAACAACAGGCAGAGCGTCAACATCACAAATCAAGAGAGACATCTCTCCACCAAAAGGAGCTAAGCTTAATTCCCGAAAGAACAAAGACCTGCGGCTCGGCGTCTTCTCCCGGATGCTCCCACAACAAGTTCTCCAGCTTGAGGTCTCTGTGCACCACGCATCGCTTGTGGCAATACCGCACAGCGTTCACGATCTTCTTCACCGTCAGCGCCGCCTGCGCGTGAAGGAAGCGGGCAGACCACGATCGATTGAAAAATGTTGCGGCACCAAACGCGTGCGGACGATGCTGGGAAAGTGGCCCATGAGCGAACATGATTGGCTACGGAAAACGCCAAAGCCAACGCCAAAATGGCGGGTATGTTGAGCCAATGTTTTCCAGGACAGACTGACCAAGGCCATCGCGAGGACTCCAACTGGTCTCAAGGGCATCTCGCACATGTGCGCACCCCCAACACGTGTTACTTGGGGTCATGCATCGAGAGCATGTGACATCCCACAGGAAAGTAATCGCACCGACATGGCCCTTGTGTGAAAGAAAAACAGCGGCGGCCTATCCTGCATAGCTGCTCAAAAATCTTTGGCACGTAGCGTATGCCGCTCCTCACGGGCAACGACAGCAACTAGCGCTGAACCGACACGGGCTCTTTTCGGCAATACAAGCGCCCTCGACTCTTGCGAAAATGACGTCAGATGCACCTCGGTGACCACAACTCCGCATCAGGCGCGACTGTAGGCCCAACCCCCAACTTGACACGTCTAACACAACGTTGTTGGGACCTGTGCACAAGCGCCGCCTAACCTTCCACTTCCTGTCGATATGTAGACAACTAGCGACAACGAATCAATACCTTCCGCCTACCACTAAGGAACGAGCGACAATATGAGTTCGTATTTCTATATCACAACCGGCCGACAGACAGACGAGCCGGGTACTGTATTCACCTCCTCTTCCGAGTAGCGCAGCCTCCTATTTCGCTGCCACCTCGTCATCATGTCCCCGCCCGTGCACAAGTCCTGCATCGTGTTCAAGCGCATACATACAGTCGCGCAGACACGAGGGGTCAAGCTGGCAGACAGCCAACAGAGCAGACAGCACGGCTGACGACGAAATAAATGACCGGTAAGTAGTAGACAGGCTAGCAGCCAGCACGACTGACGAAAAAAACGATGGTTGCAGTTGGAGCCCGCACCCAAGAACCTCCTATTTAGGCCGAGTCTCGTGTCTTCTTTTGTCGACGGGAGGTCCCCACGGCGACTATATAGGCTTTAGTGGAGGCTTCTTGACTAAGCATCTGTTCCTATGGTCAAGTTCTTACATCTTGGAGATAATGAGGCTCAAAATTCTAAACTACCATTCTCAAGTGCGGGCCTGTTCTGCAGACAGCACGGCTGACAGCGAAAGAAACGACGGTCATATCATACGGCAGGCAGGCAGCACGCCTGCGGCAATTGCCTCTGTCGATTGGACGTCGGATTTACCCGCAACAAAGCACACACACAAACAGACGAACGACCAATCGACCAAGAGAGGGACAACAACTCACCATGACGAGAAAGAGCGAATCTTCCGTCTCGAAGACTTCCTGCAGTCTGACGATGTTTGGGTGGTCCAGCCTGCGTATGAGATCCAGCTCGCTGCGGAGCTGGTCCATCGCCAGAGAGTTCTTCCATGCCATGTCCCAAACACAAGAAACAAATGCAGAGCATATGCTGAAACAGACTCAAAAAAAGCCCAGTATCCAGCAGCTTTCTTCCCGCAGGCATTGTTAAGACTTCAACCCCTCATCTTCTACTGTGGCTATATCAAACAAACAATGCGTGTGCAGGCATGCACCCATGTCAGAACTGCCGTGCCCCGGGCACACCTTGAGAGCAAGCTAGCGTATTAGCGCAAGTTCCAACTTTCTTAGAAAACATACGGATACAACATTTGAAAGACTTTCCGTCCGACAAAATACCCCGGCGTTGTTTCAGTGAGTGAAGAAGAGAGGCTGCTGGGATTTCTGTCGAAATTGTTACCTTGTGTGTTGAGCTCCCCCATGTCATGTCAAACTGCCTAATCCAGCAATGCCAACCTCTCCCGCATCAGCCGAACCGGGCTTGAGCACTCAACTAGGACCACCACTGTGCTACTGCTGTCAACCGGGTTTCGGAGAGAACACCACATTTCGAACCAGTGACGGTGTCAGGGGGGTTCCGTGACATAATATTCGTGCTCGCACTGACTGGCATACCTACCTTACCCGCGCCCAAGGGCACGGTCTTCATGGCGAACTTGGCCCCCGTTTTCTTGTTCACGACCGTTCGCACGACGCCTTGTATCCCCTCCCCGAGAACTTCGCCTTCGATGTCATAGAACTCCTGGATGTCGCTGTCGTTGCGGGAGCGCGCGCGGAGGGGGGGGAGGGGGGGGGGTACTCATAGACTAGTCGTGCATGCCGTAGTCGTTTGACCATTGACCTCGCATCCCTACAAAGCCAGGACGGAGCACGCCGGGTTCTCACCGGACCAGGCTCTCACATCACCAAGCACGAAGCGCCGTGAGGTATTCGGCGAGTCGCATGAAGGGTGCGCTGCATCCTGCTAAGGGTGTTCGGCATCTTGTGCTTACTTCCTTGCGTATGGATGACAGCTGCGTATGAGTTCATTTATTTTCTGGTGCTTCACTTCCAGAGACAGTTGTTAGCACTGTGTTACTGCCTCGAGGGTGCTTGACCATTTGAACACCACGTGGTGCGATCATCCCCCTTGCGCAGAGTGAGGGTTCTCCACCCCGCACAACATGATCTACTCGACCACCATCATGGATACCGTAAAAAAAAAAGAGGTAAAAAAAAAAAAACGGTAATCTGGTTGCCGAGTTCACGAAGTGAATTGGCTTGTTTTACATCCTCGTTGGCAAGCGACGAATACCCAACCCCGATGGCAAAAACCGGGGGGGGGATTCAACTGGTTTCGGGTTCATGCTTGCCATCGGCGTAGGACCACCGACCACCGGTTGCCTTGGTTGCAAGTGGAAAGATGGCTGTGCGGTGATGGTTGTGCGTTGTGACATTCCTCTGGTATAAAGAGGAAAACGTCGAACGTTGAGGTGGCTGCCCATACGCAACGGACGCCGTCCACCACAACACAACAGACGAACTATGTTCAGAGGCCACGGCGAACCGACCCCTGCTACAGCAGTACTGCGGCACGAACAAGAAGCATGTATGCTAGCCGCACGAGCAGCCACAGCAGTCGACGGTACCGCACCGACTGCGATCGAATCACCGAACAATTCTCCGGGCGGTACTCGATCCAATGGGAAGTTATACAGATGGCGGGGGCTCGATTTCTTTTTGAGGATGTTTCTCCCGTGTGAACCCGGCTGTGCGTCTAGAATTGTATACGCTTCGTACCAAACGGCGTAAGGACCGACGTCCAGACGAAACGGGTGAAAAAAGAAAGGAAATTTACATGAAATCGTGGAAAAAAAGAAGTTTCGCTGACACTATGGATTCATTGCTAATCTATCTCAGACTCTTTCCTTCGATAGAGATGGATGCGTTGGGTCACACTGAGAAAATTAAAAAAAGATATAAGCGGGCCTGCTGCTGTACACTATACGGTGTTTCAGCTCCCAAGGGATGCCGTCATGTGAAATAATTTTGTGGAGTGTGTGTGTGGGGGGCGTCCTTCTCTGCTGTTGTTTCGCTCTGGGTGTATTTCTCAAGAGGCTATCCCGTTCACCTGTAGCGTTCGTCGTGTGTGTGCAAGTCCTTGTTCGACGGATCGGACTCTCTCCTGAGCAGTCAAATACGTACGTGCACAATTAAGTACCTCTACTTTAGTTGTCTTGTGGGCGACGAATCTTGCGTTTTCTTACCGTTCATCGAGGTACAAAAATGTCGATGCTTACAGCAGCAGTTCGGTATCCGACGGCGCCGCCTCACAGTTCAAACACCCCGACTTTCAGAGGAATAGAGGAGTAACATGAAGTACACCACTGAAGGCGCCCACAGGTAGACCGGCACGGATGTAAGAGGGTACCGTAGATACTGAGCAAAGACCGGGTGCATTTTCATTTGATCCTGTTGGAGTCAACAATCACGACAAGAGCACCTCACGCCGACAGCATTCGTTCGTGTTCGGCCAATGCCTTCCACCACACCGCAACCCTGGATGTCGTAGCATACATAAGTGTGATAAAGCAATGGGAGGACGGCAGTGGGGTGACCGGTCGAATAGCGACCCCCTGATTAGCAAAAATCGACAGCCCTGAAAGCAACCGCAATAAGATTTCGCCTCTATCGATCACGATTGAACCCCGACAGATTTACGCCATTATACCGGTCGCCCCGGTGGTCTAGACTACTAGTGGTATCCTCGTAATCCGCTAGTCGCAGAGGTCGTGAGTTCGAATCCCCATGGGGTGAAAAATTTACGAAATTTGCGTTGAAAGCGAAATATAGCTAAAAAACTCTCGTGAGTACCAAACTTCGACGTTAGCACCGTTGACGAGGAAAGGGACGGCTGGACCCTTCTCGCGATAAAAATAAAATTCAGCAAGCACCGCAGGAGGAAGGTGGGGCATGAAAAGAAATAAAAAGAACAAAAAAGCCCTGATGTTTACCCCCTCTTGTGTGACCCAGGATGGTTTTAGTTGTACGAAAAAATACACTGAAAAGTGTAGTACTCTACATACGCTGAAAGAGTGTAGTACACGGCTCACCACGAAAAATGGGGGGACTGTCGCCATAATAAATAGGACGAAAACACACAACACACTCGCAATAGCGACCATTTCGGAACATTCCGAGCCCATCCCCTCCTGACACTAAAATACGTGTAGGGGTCGCTACAGCAGTTACCGCCCGAGATGGCAGTAAAAACAATTAGTGAGCTCGGTTAAGCACCCCTACACGAAACCCACCGTATTTAGCGGTCATTCGCATGCATACTAAACACTACAATACATTAAGTAGAGAATGAAATAACAGCAGTAGAACCCTAGGAACTACGAACCGCGGCCTCCCACCAAAACGAGCGCCTACGCTCACTGCTTGCAACCTGTAGTGGTGTGTGGTGCTGTATCACGCACCTACATTACACCCAACGTGCTCAACTGAATGGAGATAAATCGGGCCGAGGAAAGGTCGGCAGCACAGGGACAACGCCCGACGTCACTGGTTTTGTAGAGAGACGCGGCAGACTCGGCGCGGATAACCCGGGTACCTTAATTGTGTACCATCGTGGCAGACCCCTTCAATGTGGAACGATTCCTAGTCAGTGTCGATGTTTACACTGCTGTGTCTAACACAGATGATCTGGATATATTCGGGTGATTGCCAATTGCAATGGCTTTGGTTGGTTGTTCTTCATTGTATGTCTTATTCTGACAGCACTTCAGACAGCAGTACGCTGTAGTCGACGAACATTCATTTTGGTTGAGTGCGGGACAAGGGGGATGATGCTGCTGCTGTAGTCGCATTGTAGTGTGTGGGCGTGTAGTTCAGTTGTGAGCACGCAAACGTGCTGCAGGGATTGTAGGTGTACCTCCCCGGGCTTGCGTACCTTTTTCTTGCCATTAGTGTGTGTTCTTTAGATCTTCTGATGGCTCTAGCACTTTTGTGACCACGCACCGAGTCTTTGCTAGATTTTGGGATTAGCAACTGACACGAGTTCAATGTGAAGAAAACAACAACAACAACAACAACAACAACAACAACAACAACAACAACAACATTATGGCGTTGGCAGAAGCTTGCTTGCCTGTGGAGCAAGCAAGCTTAGCTTTGAAAATCGGTTGCCATCTCGGTATCCTTTTCGGTCAAAGACGAGCCTATAGATTTGATCACTCATGCAACACATAATCGCGTGGACATCAACCACAACTGTAGTAGTCGAGTACAGAAGTAGACAGAGGAGATTTTGGCATCGAGTCTGTGGCCACGGCTGTGACAAATCAACACAAAACAGCAGTCGTGTCGGTAGGTTCTGTTGAGCGGGGTAAAAAACCTGTTGCTGATGATGTTTGTGACACACGACGCAACGCACCAACTCACCGACCAAACTCCTCGTGAACCAGGTTGTGAACGAGGCTGCCCTCCTTCCTCTTGGTCCGCGCTTTGGCTTTCCTCTCCGCCAGTGTCGCCGGCGGTGATTTCGGTTCCTCTCCCTCCGAAGAAGCAACGCACCCCATGGCGATGCTGCTGCTGTCAGTGGCTCTCTGCCCCTGCTGCGGTCCTCGCTCCCACGGTCCCCGAGGCTGGCTCTAAGAACGCGGGCTTTGGGTCCAAACTGCCGCTTTGCTGCCGATTCGATTCCAGGACACGATCTCTCGGCGAGAGACCCCCGTGGCACAATCCTCGAATGGACGTGGCGTGTGAAAGGTTCTACCGGGCAGTGTCCAATCCCTTCTCTCTGCCTCTATACTCCTGTGCCTTTGGGTGTCGTCACTTCGTCACCGCTTTTCCGAGCGAGCGAGGGCACATGTCATGTGTCGGAGACCACGACCTTGCAACTGCGGAGTATAAGCAGATACCCTCATTGCTCACGTTCCAAGTCGCGAGCCCCCCCGCTTTTCGCCTCTTCCAGCCGCGCGGTTGCAGCGGCAGCCTGCAGCAGCACTTTTCACGCGCAAGATCCTTGGATCCTAGGATCCTAGGTACATAGAGCTGTGTTCCACTTCGCTCGTTGCATGTCTAGACGCTGACTCGCGTCACTGGCCGCTGCGTCCTAAAGATTTCGAAGCCAGAAAATTACAACAAGAGAGAACGACCGCAAGCGACCCGTTCGGAGGAAGGACACACACAAACACACGATACGCACTTAGTTTCGGAGAGAAGAGGCGAAGAGGGCGGGCCTTGCATGGAGCATGGTGGACTTGGACGGCATTGCAGAGGCCAGAGTGAGATTTGCGTTCGCATTTGTATTGTTGGATGGTAAGGTCGATTAACCCCGTGTGTCGAGATTATTCTGCGCCAATAACTGGCCGTTTCACAGGATACAGGCAAGTGACGGAAGATACCACCACACTCTCGACCGATTTTCAAAGGTACACGACTCCACAGCAGAAAGAGTGCCGGGGCCGACAACAGCAGCGGTGGAACCGACGCATGGGGGGCTTTTCGAAAACGTATCGTTTGATGTATGCATCTCTTTGTCGTGGAGTAACAGAGCAGCACGTTCAAAATTGGTCCAAGGGGGTGTGGTATATCACGTCAGCGACGGTTGAAGCTGGGTGAGCGGTTCATGGACTCGGCCCCGTGGCGAGCAGCAGTGGACAGCAGGCTACTGCTGTAGGTCATACAGGATATGTTCGTTGTGCGCCTGTGCTTCCTGGGCAGATTCGTCGCCCGCCTTCTGTGATCACCTCGAGGCGAAAAAAAATGGATTTGTTTTCCCCAGATTGGTCTTGGTCAAGTGGTATCCGGAGAGATAGTCTAACGTCTATTACTTTGTGGGACAGATCGGTAGACTTACCATTTAATTACCAGCTCGACTGTATGTCAACCCTTTAACCTTAACCCTTAATAAGTGTGTGCATACATAGTTTACATACACGTTTTACGATGCCCCGACGCACTAAAGCCTACCAGGATTTTTGTGCATGGCCTTTTTTGTACAAAGTAGTAGTCTACATAGCCAGGGTCTCGACACGACGCGTGCCGTTCGTTGTGTGGTTGGGCAAAGGCTAAAAAGTACGGGAGATACCACGGGGGTAGTCGGTATTGCAGTGTGGCTTGATCATGACTTGGCACACACACCTTGTTGGCTCATCGAGCTGGACGGAAAACAACCGAACTTTTTCGTCCGCCAACACGGTCTCCACTTCAATGTAGTATTGAAGTTGAGCTCGGTCCCTAGGTTTCAGGTCCATTTTTCTGGTGCGAAGTGGTGGTCGGCATCCTCCGCCCCATCACACATGGGCGAGCTTGTTGCAGATTCTCACACGGGCGCTAGGAATTTTCTGTCTCGGGCCGCCGCCATCACGGTTGTGTCGATCTACTGTACGTCGAACAACACAGCCTCGTTTGTTGGCTCAGGCAGTTGGCCGTAGTATCCTTTCCCACGTGTCTTGGTTGTTGTTGTTTTTGTTGTGGCTGGTGGTGTTGGTGTTGGCGTTGTTGTTGTGATTGTTGTGCTAGTGGTGTTGTGATTGTTGTGTTAGTGTTGTTGTTGTGATTGTTGTGTTGGCGTTGGTGTTGTGATTGTTGTTTTAGCGTTGTTGGTGATGAAGGTGGTGGTGGTGGTTGTGTTCGAATGTTGAACGCATTTCCATCCTGTGCTCAGTACCTTCCTACATCATACATGCTGGCCCATCTGACGCGGATGCCATACGTGACGATCAGGCCCACTATTCACACAAACAGGATGCGTGCGTTCTAAACATATCATTTTAAGCAACTACAATTATATCGTGGCTTATTCTCGCATGTTCATATCACAGCTTTTGGGATCTGATTATTTTTATCCAGCGAGTACCCCGCACCTTCTGAGCGAGAAGCCCAGCCTCAATCGTTTGCACGTCCCCTAGCCGTCCCCTAGCCGTCCCCTAGCCACCAAATCTTGCGTGGGCAAGCAACCCAAACCCCGCCGAACCCTTGCTCCCTTCCACCGCGTGCGTGTGCGTGTGTGCGTGATCAGAAAGTAATCGTGTTTGATGTTTCGAAGAGAGAGACGCATCACCCGGGGAATGGGTTCAAGAAGCTCGCGAGGCGGCTCAAAAGCGGGTACAAGCTTCAGATGTGAGAACATACTACATATTTTGTGGTACATGTTCTGGGATACGAGTAGTTGGAGGCTGGCTGCATGAAACGCCCAACGCCCCTCGCTCGGTACGTGGGATTCGCCCAAGGCCTACGCGACACGCGTATTACCCGCCGAGTGAATTCGTAATCACATGCTTTTCAACACACCTGTAACGGGTGGTTCGAATTGTCGGCACCAATGGTATCGTGTGTTTTTTGCCAGTGGAGAACGCCGCGGGTGCTTTAGAAGCATGCCTGTGCCTTGCGCCCCATGTCGCGTGGTGTGCCTACCGCTGGATCGACTGTTTAACCCCGACCCTGCCGCGGTCGTGATAACCGAGCAGTAACAAGGATGAGCTCTCCGAGGAGTCGCTGAGAGGAGTGAACCTGATCGTCTTCGGTTCTCCGAGAGAGAGGTTCCTGCAAGAAGAGGTGCGACGCGTCGTCAAGCCTGGCGCAGGACGGTTGACTGTTTTTTCGTGGCTCTCCGTGTTGGACAGAGAGAGAGAGCAAGCACGTCGCAAAACCCTCGGCACCTTGAAGCACGCTGCTTGGTAGCACAGCAATAAATTACGTCGGCCAACAAGAATGGCCGTTTCCGGTGGCTGCGAACAAAAACCTGTGCGCCAACCTCGTTTTCCTCCTGAACAATCGACCGAAACGTTCTAGCCGCGCGCGCTGGAGTTCGCGTCCGAATTTGGTGCTGCCGGTTTGGTACGCTGGCTAGCAGGGCTCGTAAAGGCCGGAACATATCACTTCTAAACCATTCCATTCAGAAGCAGCACCACAAAAATTCAATAGACGTGTACACGGTGCTCGGTCTACAATCGAGAACACATGCTTGCCATTGTGGTGTGTTGCACGCGCGGCAGTTCGAGGCCGTGAAGAGTTACCTGAGGTCCGGGGGCAGCGCGGTGTTTCTACTCGGGGAGGGGGGAGAGGAGCGGCTTGGCACAAACGTCAACTACCTGCTGGAGGAGTATGGCATGACTGTGCACAAGGACAGCGTGGTGAGGAACCAAGCAGGGTGTGGAATTCAGCAGAGCTTTCATCTCGAGACGGACGAACAGAGCCACGAACCGTCTACCGTAGACGACACAAGATAACATACCCCGGCGATGACATTTTGTCATAAAAGCATTATCAGCGGGTGTGGTATCCTGTGGGGGGTGTGATATCGTATCAAGCCCGGCTGATAAAGTGCAGCTCGTATGGACCCCTAAGGGGGTGTGATAAACCGGGGGGGTGATAGCACGTCGGACCACCCATATGCTTGGAGGTGTGGTAATGAGTGTGTGTGAAAAAAAGGGGGGGTGATAGCACTGCTTGTAGAGCTGAACTGCTGCTGCCACACACTTGAGGGGTGTGGCTGCTGCTGCTGGTGAGGCGATGCGGTGGCTGTCATTTTGGCGCCTGTTGCTGTGCCAGCTGCTGCTTCTGTTAGAGCAGCAGCAGCAGGAGGACGAGCCGTAGCAGGAGCCGCTTGCGTAGAAGGAATGTGCTCGCCTTGAACGAACGAAGTGATGTGTGGCGCTTGTACTGCTGCGACCGGAGCAGTTGTGGAAGAAACGGAGGTACGTGCGGCGGCATTCGGTTCTCCCTGCACGTTCATGTTGTTGGAGGTCTCCATGCGGGGTGGGTCCCCGCACGCAGATGCTGTGTGTGTTTGCGATGCCCACGGGGCAGATACTGTATCACCCCGGTGATAAATGGAGATAAATGGAGAGGCCCCGTGAATGTATGCGCGTAACTTCAACGGGTTTGTTATCGAATGTTGCTCGGGTGATAAATCGTTGGTTCGTCAGGATCGCCCAAAATTATTACCGGGTGGTCGTATTCTATGGGGGGGGTGGCTTCTAGTGTGGGAGTGTCATCTTGTGTAGTGTACGGTAGATGACGTGACGAGGATGGATGCGTACATAGTCACCTTTTGCTCCGTCCTGTCGATGATGCGTGGACAATGGCCTGAGAAACCTTTCGTGCTCCTTCCTCTTGATCACGCGTGGTCNGTTCATCTCGCACGGCATCCTCAACCCGGAGATCGCGCGCATGAAAGACGCCGCGTCCCTCTCCCGCCGCGGCGGGCACAGCAGCAAGCCGGGCAGCAGCAGCGGCAGCGGGCAGCGCCTAGGGTCCGCCTCGTCCAACCACTCCGGAGGCGGCAGCCACGCAAGCAGCATCTCCGCCGCCGCCAGCGGCGGCGGGGGAGTGGACGACGCGGGTGCCGTACCGTCGGGGGACGCGGGGCACGGCGGGCTCACGTTCGTATATCCCTACGGGGCCACCATGACGGTGCAGTCGCCCGCGCACCCGGTGCTCTCCTCCGGGCCCATATCGTACCCTCTCAACCGGCCAGTTGCCGGCGTTTGGGAACGCCCCATGGACGTCCCGCCCGGCAGGAAAGCGGGCGGCGACGGCGCGGGAGGAAGAAGAGGTCTGGGTGGCGGTAGCATGGGATCGTCGGGGGGGAGGGCGCCACGGCCAGAGGATCACGAAAGTGGGTCGGTTTTCTCTTGGCGGTAGTTTAGCCTGGTGTGGCGCCTGCTTGCTTATTGTTTTCGATGTTGAATTTCGTTCGGGTGTTTGCGAGGTGTCGTTTCGTTGTCCTGCTAGGGTGGTCGTTTTATATGTTTTGCGAAAGCTAGCTCACTACAGTTTGTGTCGTTGGAGGCTCGAAACATGTTGACAAGGAGTTTCCGTGTGTTCGGCTGTCCCGAGTCCCGAGGGTACATCGTTTCCGAGCTCTTTGCCGCTACTGTACTGCGTTCTGAGCGATATGCCCGGAATACTAAGTTGCAATCGTGGGCCATCCGTGGGGCACGTGTGCGCCGGGCCGGTAAATCCTCCCTGCACACCCGGCACTCCATTCAAAGAGACTTGAGGTGCGTACAATGAGGTTTCGCCTGTCCTGTGTTGAACACCCGCTCTATTAGTGGAGGTCCCGCGGCAGTGAGGAGCAAATCGGCTGCCAGCCTTCGTCTACGCTCTCCTGTACGCAGAAGGGTTTGTTGTGCCCGCTTCAGAGCATTCCGCAACCAACTACCGTACCCTTCCCTTATCCCAGCCTTTTTTTTGCCAACCAAACGCTCAATTTTCCGACCACGGCAGGCGAGGCGGCCCCGGCGTCCGAGCCTGCCGTACGCAAGGGCCCCGGGCGCCTCTTGGTGGTGGCGTCCAGCGACATCTTCGCGGACCCCTGGCTGGACAAGGTAAGGCACGCCCGAATCCTTCGGCAGCACCAACCTACCTACGCAGAGGACAAATCGGTACCGGGGCTTGCATTGTAAGGTCATGGTATCATGGCACGTTTTGGGCTTCTACCGTAAGGCGCGGCAAGCCCGAATCCTTCGGCAGCACCTACACACGAGATGAAATCAGTGCTTGCATTGCAAACCAAAGATACGATGGTAATCATCGCAGAACCATCGTACCTTCAAGCTTCCGCCGTTTTCGCCGTCAGCGAGAATGATTTATTTTTTTCTCTGGGGTGCATACACGTACGACGCGACGGGGTTTCGGTTGTCTTGGAACGTCTTCAGGAGGAAAACGCTAAGCTGTGCGACGTTTTTATGCGGTGGCTCCTCGGGGAGGTAGGCGTGAGGCTCCCCCGGCGCAGAGAGTACGGGGTGTCCGAGAGCCGAAGGGTGCCCAACACAGAGTCGCTGGCGGACAGACTTCGCTGCTGCCTGCAGGTGCGTGACATCAAACAGGTCGAATGCTTCCCGTAGTTCCTCCACGCTCTCCGGATGTATATCCGGGACGTCGGCCCTCGCGGCCGTCTTCCGCGACGACGACGAGGCGCGTTTGTGCGGTGAGGAACGTACGCGTAGCACCGACAGTGACGACGCCCTACAGCTGCCAGCGAGCGTGAGTCTTCCCTCTCCCTCTCTCGAGCTTTGGTGCTGGTGTGCTGGTGGGGGGGCAGATGATCCTTAGCGTGAGTTCGCAATATTCGTGGCACCGGTGTATGCATCCGTTGGCGGTGGGAGGGAATTGACGCTACCCTTCCTTGTCGCCAGGCAAGGTGTGGGGTTGTTTAAAATTATAGGCTTTCGTCGCGGGGGGTTCATTGAGCGTTGGAGATAGTTGCCATGGGTCCGATCGACTGGAGGTTGTGGCAATATTGCGGATAGAATTGCGTGGGTTGTTTGGACCTACGACGGTGTAGCTTGGTTCTCGGTCAGTCCTTTGTGGTCGGCCAAATCGTGGGAGTGCATTGCGCGTTGGTGACGAAATGACACGTGTCTACCAAACTACTGCAATGCCTGCCGATCACACGAGGCCTGGGTGTGGGTGAAGTATGCTTTTGTGGTGTTTTCTCTCGAAGCTGACGCACACATGCCGAGTCGTCGTTGTGCTGCCGCACGTCTTTGATGGTGATGATGAAGGAAAATGGAATTATTCGTACGTTAGTGTTTTTGACGCAGCATACTTCTTCCACGAACGATCCGCGGCCGGCGGCATATCGGCGTTCCCCCGGTCCTGCAGCAAAAAGCACGAAAATGGAAGCAAGTAGGAAAAAAAAAACAAGGGCACCAGGTTCGCCTCGTCCACGGAGCGTGCCCAAAACACAGCAAACAGCACTACACCCGGCGATACCCGCGCCCCTTTTCGCAGGAGTCCGAGAGCCTGCCGAAGAACTTCACCAAGCTCTTCAACGACTCCCTCTTCGGCTTCGACACGAAGATGATCCCGGAGACCGTGGAGGCGTTCTCGCTCCTCGGAGTGAAGCACGAACCCCTGACGCTCATTCCCCCGGCGTTCGAGTGCCCCCTCCCCCAGCTGTCCGCCGCGGTCTTTCCCCCGATCATGAGGGAGCCGCCCCCGCCGGCGCTGGACAGATTCGACCTGGACGAGCACTTCGCGAGCGACCGCATACGCCTCGCTCAAATAACGAATAAGGTATATCGGGAGCCCTGTAAGTGCCGGTTGAATAGCGCCGGTGTTATCGGCTCGCACAAACTGATTTAACCAAGTCTTTCTGTGCTCTGAATAGCGCCGGTACCCGGTATAGTGCCGGTAAAATCACGGGACCCCGGCACCAAAGAGGGCCCCCCATTCATCAACAACCTCTTAAATTATCTGGCGTATCACCAATGTTTAGTCCGGCGCCTCGGTCAGCTGCCGTGCCGAGGGCCTGTGAATTATGAGCTTGTCATTCGTAGTGCAATACACGATATACGTTTAGGATAAGAGTACTCGCGGGGTCCCGGGAAACTTGAGAAAGCTGGCGGCTACGCTGAATCGGGATACTGCCGAGGTGGAGTCCGGGTTTGTGATGGGAGGCGCGCATGCTTGACGACCGGAAGGCACTCACCCTTTCAGCAGCGGAACCTGTGTCGTTTCGCGCATGTTGGACGCGTTCCTACTTGCGATGCATACCCGCCGCCGCACTCCCCGTCCTGGCCTGCGTCCGACTCAGTGCACGCCGAGCGACTTGGAGTACTACGTGCGGGAGTGCGGGGAGATAATGGGCGTGACGGGAGAGCTGTCCGAGGACTCGCCCGCTTCGAATGGCCCGATGGGCGTCCTAGACCACGTGTTCAAGAGGCTCATCCGTTTCAAGATGCTCAACCAGGTGATTCTCATTCATGTTTTGTCGTCGTCAACAAATTGCCAGCCCGGCATCTGGGGTGGCAACTACTCTGCGCTTTGTTATCCGTTGGCCGAAGTGTGGCTCTTCTGCGCCAATCTGGAATAACAAGCTCGAACCAACGCTACATGATTGCTGCTAACTTGAACATGACTTCAACACATTGATGCTCCCATACGATGTTTGTTCGACCAGCGCACTACATGCACTTCTTGCCGTACAGACCGACACCCGGGTCGCTGCAAACCGACCTTAGATCTATTCCGCGTGCGCATCGCCCGCATGAAGTCGCTGCCGCACGTTTTTGCATGTCTGTGGAGCACCACGTCTTGGTTGTTGACTATTGTCAAGTACATCTCCCGCAGCGATGAGCTGGCTTCGCCCTAAACACGCGTTCCTCTATTGAACCGAACTTGGTGTCGACGAACACGAGACAACGAAATGCACGGTAGAGGCACAATCAAGCAACGCTCAACCAACCGTGCAGGAGGAGGGGGTAACGGGACAAAGTTTGGAAATTCGGCGAAAACGCCGATTTAGATGTTGACGGTTTCAACCGAACCGAACGAAATGCGAGACACGGTAGTGACACAATCAAGCGCAACGCTCAACCAATCCTCGTGCAGGAGGAGGGAGCGATGGACGCCCTTCCCAGGGGTGTAGGCGAGTTCAGTGGCGTTTCGGGGATGGGCGCCCAGAACGCCCCGGCGGGGGCTGGCGCTCCTCCAGCCAGCGCAACGTCGACGCCGTCCGAGCGAGGGTCGATCTTGAGGGGGCAACCGCAGCGGCAGGATTCCACCGGAAGCGGGAGCCTGCTGAGCGGCGGCGGCGGCAGCGGCAGCGGGAACGGTGGATGGGGCGGTGCGGGCGGGGCAGGGTCTGAGTCGAAGCACGGTGGTGGAGAGGTGCGTGTGTCGCTGTTGTTAAGTTGTACAGCCTATCCGCTATGCTACAATTCAGCGCTGTACGCTGTACATCTTAACCGCCGTACTGCGGACGGGGCGTAGAGAAGCGGTTTGCTGGTTGCTGGTGGGTGTTGCTGTCGGGTTGGCCAGTCGACGAGTTGGCACACCGCCGGTGTCGAGGTATATCACCATTGTGATGATGGATGTTGTGCTCACTGCTTTGACGTTCCGCTGTATTTACCTTCTTTCGGTCGGTCGTGAGACGAATCACGCCCACAATTCCTGACCTGCGATGCCCCCCCCCCCCCTGTCCTAGCATACGCCTCGAGCACTCCCCCACGACTTCTCCCCCAGATCTCTCACGTCTATGGTAGCTTACTCTATGTGTATTCGGCTGTTGACCGTTTGCTTTTGCCATCGTACGCAGCGATTATCGTCCAGCAGCAAAGGCGGGGCAGGGGGGTACCCGGCGAAGAGCGAAGGAGGTGGAACGTCTGACTACAAGCTACCCCCAGGAGGCAAGAACTTGATTTCATCGACAGCGGCGTAGTAGCAAGCGCGGGCGGGGTTAGAGGCTTCAGAGCGCGCGGTTGGCCCAGGGGAAGGGGGGTTGTCTTCCACCTCGTGTCTCCTCTTACGTGTACATTTTGGCATGTTCTCTGCCAGGTGTATGCCAATTGTCTTTTCAGTGGATGTGGCGGCTGCGCAGGTGTGTTATTATCACCAAAGTCTCGCGTGTGCCTTTTCCCCTTTCTGGTATCCGAGAGCTTAACGACTGCTGCAGCAACGGATCCACAGGTCTCGAAGTCGGATTTACTCCGAGAGACAAATTGCCACCTGGTACGCGTGAGGTTTACATGGAAGACCCCTGTCTGCTTCTGAGATCACTGGGCACAAACCTCAGCACAAAACTGTTGTTCTTGGCAAACCGAATCAACCAACCGCTTCAATCCATCTCCGGCAAATCTCCGATAAATGTAGTATCGGGTCCTTGCAAGCTCTGGTATGTGAGGGAAACATCCTCTCTAGTGGTGTCAAGGATCCTGTGAGGTACGGCCACTAATAACGGGAGGAAAACCCTTCGCAGATGAGCACCCTTTTCACCTTTCCCGCTCCTCAAGAATGCCTTTCCCCCGGTTCTAATCCCGCGAACTCCGGCGCCACACCTTCTTCTCCGACCGCAGGAGGGTCCCCGCGTGGTAGTTGGGACGCCTCCGGTGGGGGTGGGGACGGGGAGGACGGAAACGCGCTCCGAGCTCGCGCGAGACGAGCGGAGTCAAAGACAGACGGCGGCGACGGCGGGGGCTTGCGGGTTGAAGGGGGGAGTGAGGTTATGACATTTGGCTGAATCAACCACACGACGATACGCTTGCGGATGGAATGGGGGAGTAAATCTGTGAGTTTTGGCTGAACCAGACGACCGGCGGGGTGGTGAAGGACGGGGTTTCAGAGAAACGAGGGCTGATCGCTATTTGTGCGTTGCCAGAAGCGACGAGAAGAGCCTCTTCAGATTTAGTGCAGTGGGGAGGCGTGGGGAGCTTGACCGCTTCTTTCGTGCCAGTTTGAGGCCGGCGTGCCCTCGGCATTTGCCGGGTCGTTGCGCGCAAAGGTCACAACCATGCCCCGGTCTCACTGCATTCATTCGTGGAACCCTTTCCACAATTTGACTTCTCGCCATGTTGACGGTAGCGTCTCTTTGGGTTGTTGATGCCGGCCCTCGGGACCCGGGGAGGTATTGAGGTTAGCGAGATTCATTTTGAAGCGATTGATGCATCTGGACGGAAGGAGCGCACTCACCTGCCTTGACTCATTCCTTGAATACCTCGCTTGTATTGGACACACCCGGATGTTTGACAAGCGGTTTCATCACGCTGCAGCCAAGGAGTTGACAGTCACGCTGTAAGTCTTCTTGTAATTAATTACTACAAGAGGCACAAGGGTCCGTGAAGCCGGATACGCTTCGAGAAATGCTTTCCACTGCAAAACTCAAGACTAGGAGAGCGGGTTGAATTGTATTCGTGTCCCACGGTTTTTGATTGACTTGTTTTTGTGTTTCGGGCGTGTAGTGGCGAAGCAGACGAGGCTACAAGATCACTTTCCTTCACAACAGCCAGGATCAACCAGGGACTCTGCCACGCCCAAAGAAAACAATAAAATGGAAATATATATACTTCGTAGTACGTTTTCGTACGTGTACAACAGTGGAAGGCGCCAGCCACAACAAAGAAATACCTACATGAGTTGAGCGTAAGACCAGGTGCTGAGTCAAGAATACTACACAAAGACCTGTTGTCGAGACTACAGAGTGGCTACACAAAAGACCTGTTGTTGTCGAGACTACAGAGTAACGTAGCATATGACAGCCAACGGGTTGTACCCCGCACGGCAATAAAAGGCACTGTAGTCTTCAGTATTGAAGGCAACGTAAAATAGTGGAGTAGGTGTGATGAGAAGGACACCGCTGCCGGGCGCCGCACCACTTTGTCACACAGTAGGGCATGTTGAAATCGACATATACATAAACAATGCAGTACTGTAGACATTGGGTGTGCACCGCCCCTACATAAAGTCCCTGCTGCTGATAGTTGTATCTTGCTTTTATTGCCATATCTTGCCGGATCATATACCATTACCTTGAAGCTTAAATCCCATCTATTACTCTCCCCCGATAGAACCGCACTACGTGTAGCGTTGAGAATTGCCATATCGAACGGTGCTTCGGCGGCTCGGCGCCCACTGATTTCGAGGTGTGCAGCTTGTTCGAACATGTTGCCAACCGTCCTTCCTCCTCCAAGCAATTTGGAAACATCTGGATTGCGAATGGATTCGCCCACAAAGGCTAGATATCACATTTTCCCCTCTCGGCAACTCCTCGTGCAATCAAATCACGCGTGTAACTGCTGGCGAACGTGACCCTGTAACCTTTGAAATTATCGCCAGAGTTCGACAAGATATGGAAGAGCTTATCGCCTACGCCGGCATTTCAGAAGCTCTTCCAGGCTCCACACTGGAATATTCGCTTGGAAGTGGGTAGCTTCAAGAACTCCTTAATTCTTTCAAAGTCAGGCGATACCAACACCATTGTTGTGCCTGCGAAGTTCTCCTCAGGCCGGTCCTTCGGTTCACGCAAATACCAAGCTGTTGGGTCCTGGGTAAACCCAGCACGACGGAACTCAGAATACATGCCTTCCTGCACCCCTTCACCACCAAACCGGTACCAGTCGCCGTTCAGTTCAAACACTACAGTTTTTCCTTCGCAGCGAAGCAGGTTCAGAAGATATTAATAGTATCCGAACATCGGTTTGACGATTCCGGGAGTGCCTATGACCACGACATCTCGAACTTCACCGCTCAAGATGAGGTCTGCCATTTCCTTGTAACAAGGACGGATGAACAGCTTGGATCCCCAGTCACGGTTGCCGAGGAAGAACGTGCCGTTTGCAAGTTCTAGGGTGTCCTCATCAGTTACCACGGCTCCGCTTAATGCCGGGGCAAAATCCGATAGGTTCTTATTGGCTGCAACGGGAAGAGGATCAAAGACAGCCATGGCGGAATAGAAAAGTGTTGTGACAGCGTTGATGAGCAACAGTATTCCGCCGGCGAAGCCGAATACAGCAATCGCACAGGGGGGAAATGACGGGCATCTGTATAAAGCATATAGCCTGATTCGCCCTGCTTGGACAAAGTCACGAGACATGAACGAATCAAAAGGCTTGTTGCGAGTCAGCAAAGGAAGATGAGCATTAAAGATCAGAAGGATGTCCACTCCGAATGCATGCCATGGTTACTGACCAATCGACTTTTCGAGCAAGTTCGGTGACATTGAAAACATCCGAAAGACACACGGATAGCATGTTCGTGCGTGAAAAAGGAAAAAGACACCGCTGTTGTAGCGCACATTGAGCACGGCTACACGGGAGTGCACGAAACACCCTTCATTGAGTTTACGGGACGAGACACGAGCGGGTATCGCGAATCCGGCCTTGTGGAAATCGCAAGGGGGCCACGGAAGAGCCCAGCACAACGTTGGACAGGCTGTCGTTGTCGCTGCACTACTCCTATCGAAGCACCTGCTCCCTTGCAATACATGCGATCCATACCTGTACCGGCATCAGGAAGCATCCCAGGAGTCGGCTCTCACAAAGTTGGCATTCTTCTCAAACGTACCAAAATTTCACCGCATCCCCACAATGCGTCCTTTCGAGAGGTTTGCTGAAAGACTACGTAGACACGAGATGTGTAATCAAATCACGAGTCACAAGCACCCCTACCTCCTGCAGCTCCTTTCATGCCATGGCATGCCGTCACAAAAACATGCGAAAAAGCACTGGCACGAAGACAGCTACATACATGAGAGACACAAGCAAGTGCTCTCCGAAGGGAGGGCGTGAGGAAGGCTGTGGGTGCATGTGCTCGAAATTCTTGAGCAGCTCATAACTGATGTGTGCACGATCACTTGAAAACTTGCTCGGAGTGCATAACCAGTGTGGAACTAAGCATGCGATGGCTCTTCTGCACCGCAGGCGCTTACCAAGACACTGCTTCAATTATTTTGCGGTATGCTGTCTTCCATCATCATTTTTTTTTTATTACCTCTGTTTTTTTTTTTTGGGCGGTAACCATAATGGTGGTCGAGTAGATCATGTTGTGCGGGGTGGAGAACCCTCACTCCGCGCAAGTGGGATGATCGCACCACGTTGTGTTAAAATGGTCAAGCACCCTCGAGGCAGTTACACAGTGCTTACAACTGTCTCTGGAAGTGAAGCGCCAGAATATAAATGAACTCATGTGCACCTGTCATCCGTATGCAAGGAAGTAGGCACAAGATGCCGAACACCCTTACTTAGCAGGATGCAGCGAACCATTCATGCGACTCGCCGAATATCTCACGGTGCTTCGCGCTGGCGATGTGAGAGCCTGGTCCGGTGAGAACGCGGCGTACTCCGTCCCGGCTTTGTAGGGATGCGAGGTCAATGGGCTAACGACTACGGCATGCACGACTATGANATGATGAGCCGAGCGAGCGAGCGATGAGCCTTTTTGAGCGGACATCAAAAGGGTTATGAAGTCACGGAGTGAAGGACCCAAGCTCACAGGATACACCGCATAAACAGCCCTCACGCCCTTTACAACGGTTTTACAGCTCCATGCCACGAGAGCTAACCCTACATCGAACAATCCACCCTCAAGTATCACAGGCGGGGGAATCAACGGTCTCAGTTTAACAAGAAGACTGGGGGGGGCTTTTCTTTTCGTCCAAATGCACATCTCCCCCGGAGGCAGAGTAAAGTTTCGACAGCTTTTCAACGACGTTTGGGAGGAGGGTGTCCTCATGTAAACGCATGCTCTAGACTAGACTAGTCGTGAAACCATGAATCTCGCATCCCCGCGATACCGTGACAGAGTGGCATGCCGGATTTCCCGCACTGTGGGAGCTGCAGCGCACCAATCCGACAAATGAAAGCACTTCCGAGTAGCTGAGACGCAGAGGAGTCCATCCCGCCGAAGAAGCCACGGAAAAGGAGGATGTGTGGCCTTCAGGAGAGCATAGCTTGCTCCCAATAAGTACCATCAGAGAGAAGGAGGCTTTTTCTCGAACTGCGATTTGACCGGGGACGCGCTCACGACGATTGCCGCTAAACAAGAGGACACGGGCTGGAAAAACAAGGTGAAAGCTGTAGCATCACACACGGCCAGAGGTTTACCCTCACTTTCCGACCGTAGTTTTCAGTGAAACGCTCGTTCAAGGGACCGACGACACCGCGTTCCAGTGAAGCTCTCTGTTCCCTGCTGCCTGCTTGAGGCCTGAATATCAATTGGGTAGAAAGGTTACGACTCAAGGCGAGGGTTCTTCGCTGAAGCCGAGGTCTTCGGCTTTCTGACTCATCCGTCAGAGAGCGTGTTCGAGCCTTCTGGCCGGAGAAATCGAGACAGTGTGTCGCTATACAGTCTGTCAGTGTGAGACAGGCGCGGACGGGGGTTGTCTTTAGCATTACCTTGAGCATTCACGGCACCGCCCCTCTCCTGCAGCAAGTGCATTTCTTCGAGAGGACGATATCAACTGGGGAGCATGATCACGTAGCCGCGAAGTGGCCAATCCTCTTGTCCTTGACCTACTCTCAGTGATCTCGAAGACGCGAGTCGCGTTCGAGCCCTCGAGGTCGACTTAACTCTCAACAGCACCTCGCCTGTAGATAATCCAACATGTTTTTTTTGCGGGGAGATTCGATTTCTTGCGTCCCCCGATGGAAACTATAAACACAAGAACCATCGGCAGAACAACAGTGCATGAGAGACACAAGCAAGTAGGGAGAGCGTGAGGAAGGCTGTGGGTGCATGTATGTGCTCAAAATGATTTCTCGCTCGCTCGACCACGGATCGACGTTTAATCGGGCAGATGTGATCTCTGTTCCCATTTCTCTGTCGGTGGAGATTGGATTTGCTATGCGTTCACTCAATCGACAGAACGAGGCGTCGCGCGCCGTGTCAGATGCGCTTTCACAATGATTTTTTCTCTCGTTTTCTTGACTCGAAAATAGACTTGCTTGTTGCAAGCCTGAAAACCAATCCTAGCAGCTGTTCTGTTGTATACGCACATGCCTCCCTCTTCCGATTGAGAGAACGAAATGCTAACCCACGCTCCACCGACGGAGGATAGGGAACATGGGTGACATCCTGCCAGTTGATACGCCGTTTGGTACCCTAGCGAGTGAGAAATCGCAAGCGGTGTTCTCGAGTTTGTGTCGGCGGGCGACCTTTGTTGCTGCGGCGGGACGCCTTTGACTTGTAGGTATTCTGCTTGGGTGAAACTGTTTTTTTTTGCGCTCGCCTCTCGAACGATCATCGCCAACTAGCGAGCAATCCAGCAGCACCGTCAGCCAAGAGTAGCTCGAAGCACTTGACGGGAGCGATACGTTGAGAACTCAGGTCGCTCCGGTTGCATACGCCGATGTTGCTGGGTTGCACCCCCCTCTGAGCTGTTTGTCTGCCGTACTCCGCGTACTTATTGGGACTTGTTTGTGTAGTGTATTATCTTCAGACGGTGAGACAACGCTCGTACCCAGGACGCTGTCGTGCTCGGAAAGGAGGAGGAGGAGAGAGAGAGAGAGAGAGAGAGAGAGAGAGAGAGAGAGTAGCAGCACGGCTGCTGCACTCAACAAAGGGGATCCCGGTGCTTCATCACCATACCCCGACCTAAAAGGTTCTACACCATCTGCGTCACACTTGTACGTACGGCAAATGTATCCAAACCATGTCCGTAGACCCACGAACACCCTCCCTGGTTCTTCACGCAAGTGACTAACCATCAGTGGGGCAACAACACCCCGGATACATCAATAAAAAAACCATACGGTGGTGGAGGGGAAACCCGGCCCCCGGGCAAAACCCCTCCAAAGAAAAACCCCATCCAACACAAAAAACCATTGCTATCACGGCGGATATACAATGGCCGCACTTATCAGAAAGGCCAAGGCGAAGACAAGATCGCAAGGAACTACGTTCCCCCGGACGATGGTCTCCCAACGCCCNCAATAAAAACAAACATACGGTGGTGGAGGGGAAACCCGGCCCCCGGGCAAAACCCCTCCAAAGAAAAACCCCATCCAACACAAAAAACCATTGCTATCACGGCGGATATACAATGGCCGCACTTATCAGAAAGGCCAAGGCGAAGACAAGATCGCAAGGAACTACGTTCCCCCGGACGATGGTCTCCCAACGCCCCCTACTCCTGCCATGGGTACACAGACCGCGACAGTAATGCGACTTTCCCGCATGGTAAACATGGCCCTTCCCAAGTGCTAAAAACTGCTAGCTACTCCGGCAAATTCATCAACTTGCTCCGGTGGTACTGCAGACTGCTCTTGCTAAGAGCCTTGGTAAGCAGATCGGCATGCTGCTCCGACATCGACACAAACTTGATTGAGATGTCCCCCGACCTAAACAATCCACGAATGAATGAAGTGGTACCGCACGTCGATGTGCTTGCTACCCGCTGAGCTGAGGGGATTCTGCACGAAAGCCATGGCCCCCTGATTGTCCTCAAGGACCTGAATGCTGCTGCCACTGGTCTCTGGGGCAATAAACGAAAGCACTGCACGCACAAACAAAGCTTCCTTCACAC